ATTTCATACTTAAAGGGGCACCTTCCAGTTAAGCCTAATCTCACAACAAATTTACTTTCTGGATTAAAATAACAGTGGATAACAAAAGATAGATTAACATTGTAAACAACATAAACAATAGTGTCCCATGATTCTTTGGTGCAATCCATGGGATTGAGTGGTTCCCCTTTAAGAATTTTGTTTTTTAGCCACTAATTCAACTTAACTTGGTTGCATGGATTAGGATTTTCATAATTATAACCATATTTTTATAACAAAGCATCAGAACCAATGTACTTGCAATGACAGGTATGTATACCATAATTTCTAATCTTGAATAAACATGCACAGTGTCGTATTTCAACAATAGACTTGGTCCCTCAATCATTTACATAAGTGACTCCATTTTGAGTATCAGATAGACAGATAGACATATGATGTCAGATATTGGGACCTACCATATACTATAAGTGCCCCTGAGATGTCCCCGATTATATTATGCATTATGTTTTTATATATGTTCCCAACCTTTGATAAAACATAATCATATAAGTATATCCTTCCTGAGAGAGTAATATTTTTAGCACACTCAACAGTCATGGTACAAAATGTTAGAAGCCAGGACACACCTTTCCTTGTCCCATTATTCTTGGAAATAACACAGAGGAACAACCTTCAGGACTTTGACCCAATGCAGTGAATGGAGTATGAAAAGTAGCCTGGAAAAAAATAATACGGTACTATTATACTGGAATAATAAACAAGATGCACCAATTGATCAACTCAGGCCATTATTTCTTCTAACAAAATAGGGAAATACAGACTTTATGGATTAACAAACCACTCATTAACAGATCTTTATTTGTATGCTATCATTTGAGTGCAAATTATTTACCCTCAGAATTATCACAGTTCCTGAAAAAAAATACACTTGATGTACATGATCATCTCACTCACCCTAATAACTTAATGTAATATGCAAATCAGGCTATTTTCTTTATAGATCTTTAAACATTTAATCCCCTTAAGGGAATTTTACAAGTTTCAATAAGTTTTGAACAAATATAGTTGCAACCTTCAAACTATATTTGAAAGTGAAAAGAATTTCATCTTTAACGGTCTATTTTTGTTCATGTAAAAGTAAGATTACTAATTTTTGCATACAAATGGGTCAAACGTCTTAGATCTTATGGTAAAGGATATCCCATATTTATACAGAGCAAAAAAATCTTTTTCAGTGGTAAAGAAGGCTAATAAATATGGTTGCATTAATTATGAGGAATTCTGAAGATTAATATTTGGTATTTATCGAATGATGCTGATTTCAAAATATTCTGTTCTACATGTAGTTATTCCTAAAAATTCAAATGTGTATGACCAGTGCCCCAAAGAGTAATTACAGAACACAAAATTTGGTACAACATACAATTTTTGGTACATATATGAATATGAGGTTATTATGAGGATACCTCATAGTATGCAGCGGGAGTATTGACCGACGCACAGTGGAGGTCAATGCAACGGCATACTGTCTGAGTGCATACTTTGAGGTATAATTGTAATAACCTTATATTATACATCTTTTCCTTCCAAGGATATATCATGGGAATGACCGAAATCCAAAAAAGTTTAGAACAGAATAGTGAACTTCTTTGTGTGGAGTTTGGTCAAACCCTGGTGGCAGCAATGTTTGATTGCATATAATTCGCATATAATCATTCCATATTTGGAATTCACATTTCCTTGTATGGTAGGATGAAAATACCCTGTAAAATACCGCAAAATTATGGCACGCTGCAACTTGTTACGGTGTCAGATGTATATTAATAGAGTTTAATGTCCATAAATCATTGAATATGTACATACTACCAATTGAAGGTTAGACCATAAAATGCCCTTTCTACATGGTTTTGAAGTAACAATCTGATTGAAACATCCTAGCCATGTTAGAAATCTTTCCAACTAATTTAAGTCCTTCATGTCCTACCTTCCATGGTCTATGTCAGCAAAATGAAAAAAAAAATCGACTCATAGCTATCTACTTTCATTGATGTACTATGATGTGTGAATTATGCAAAAAACAGACAAAAACTTGTATTTTTGTTAAATGTTACATTGCCTTTATACTAAGTCTGAATCATCTTTGGATGACCATGGATGGTCATTTCAGTGAAACCATGCAAATGACGATGAGCCGAATATACTTTGTGTTTTCATTCTCAGGTTGTCCAAAAATATTGCTAAAAAAATTATTTTTGACTTACAAAATGACAGCAAGTCAGCCAATTTTTGAAAAAAAAAATCAACACAAATAATGGTTACTAATAGCAGGTGGTATTTGGTAATTACTGTAATTAAATATTTATACTCATACCAGCTAATTTACTGGTTTGAAATATATCAATGGCATGTTTAAAGATAAGTGTACAAGGCTGCCCCCTAGTGTAGATTATTTGCTTTTTACCAGGGATATATATCCCATATATGGTATGAGGCAGGAAAATAGATGCAAATGTTGATTATCACTTAACCTTCTCACTTTTCTATTTGCAAATTGCAAGTGCCAATAGTATACATACAGTGTAGTTTGCCACAAAACACAGCTACTATAGGTCTCAGCTATCAAATTGCTCTTGAATGAATGACATAATCTTCTGTTTGTATTATAACAATTCTATTAATATTAACAATGCCAACTGTTTGACCAGAGCGCCCTCTAGCGTTTGTGGGGAATCATGTTTATTTGGAATGCTGTGATTGGATGGAAGTTTGAGCCTAGCAAGGTGTGGTAGAATTGACCGGTTATGTTCGGATTTAAATGAGCATGAACCACCAATTTGACAAGGAAGATGTTTTAATTGTTGTTGTGTTAGAGTTTTTATATTACCCTGTCAAATGCATTTATCATGTTTAAACTTGATGGGCATGTCAAATCAAGAACTGCATTCTTTGAAACTAAATGGTCACCAGTCAGCCCCTTGGAGCTTAGAAAAAACTCCAATGAGGTGAGGATGAAGGCATTAAGTACAAATGTATTTACTATTATATTAGAACACATCTCCAATACACATGAAGCAAAAATAGTATTTATTACATGAACTACTGATAATCTACATTTCCCCCTGATTTTAACGTTTTAGCTAGAGCAAAATTGATAAATAATACTTAAATAATGTATCATAATTTCAATTTATACTAATACTTACTCGATCTGTTGCATAGACTACATCAAATAAAGATAAAGTACTAACAGCAACACCCACAACTGGTCCATTAATAGCTCCAATTAAAGGTTTTGGAAAATTGATAAAACTGGCAACAAATTGTCTTTAAAGAAATAACATCGTAAAATTAAATATTTACCGAGTAAATATAGTATGCGTTGTGTATTTCTGTTAACATATGAATAAATAAAATGTTTCGAATTCAAACGAAGAATTTGATTCAGTTTGAACATGATTCTGAAATAGAGTTAAAAAATTGCTCCTATAGAAAACAACATTATTATACATTTGTCACTGTATTCCTATAAACGATAGCATGGTTTAATTTTGCAGTATTGCACATGGTATCTGCATCCTACCTTATTAGAAAAATGTGAATTAAAAATATAAAATGATGCTGCAGCAGTATTTCCAAAATGGCAGACATTTTTGAAAATGAGGTTTTAGTGAGTAAGTTCAATAATTTTCACCATTTTGCTCCCTTCTGGGCTTCATGCACTAAGTGGTTAGATCAGGAAAAAGTATAAGAGGGAGCAAGAGGGAGCACTGCAGTTCAGCGGCGCCACCAAGTGGGGGAGATAGGGTTCTCCCTACCAGGGTGTGGAGTTTTTGATAATTCTAAGTTAAAATGGAGCATTCTATGGCTTCCTTGGGGCCAAAATTACTATCAGACTATAGACTGTGGCCACATGTGATCCCTAGTCAATCAGAATTTTATGGTTGCCAAAGGATCTGCTCCCCAGGGTAAGGGGGCACATGGCCATGACATAAGGGCGCTGCGCCCCTGTTTAAACAAATCCCTGATAAGGTTATTACAAGGATATCACAATCAAAGTATGCACTCAAGACAGTACACGGTCACAGCGACCAACTCATCTTTGTGCATACTTTGGGATATCCTCAACATATCCAAAATAGCATCAAGTTTGCAAACTTACCTAAGTACATCAGCTCCTTCTTTAGCAAATTCATGTATTTTAGAAGGATCAATGTTCATAAAATTTTCAAGATCATTACCACTGCAATAATAATCACCTGCACCTGTGAATTTTATTGATAAATTTATTTTTCTATTCTTCTCAAAAAATATATCATTTCTTCATGTACTAGGTACACTCATAATTGTAAATTAAAGATAAATTACTGTAAACAATTTAAATTTTACTATTAGGAATGTTTGCAATTTGATAAGTGTTCATGAGAAAATCATTGCTGTGATTCAGGATCCCAGTAAAATTTTCACTGCTACAAAATTTGTCTTGCAAAATTAATACAGTTTACTGCACACAAATGAATGCAAACTTTCCAAGCAAATATTTGTATGTTAATGTGTACCTGTTACAACAGCTAAGACAACTTTGGGGTCTTTGCCAATTTCGTTCAATGCAACACCAATTTCATTATACATCTGAAAAGAAAATGAAAAGTAATTTTATTAATAAATACTTTTATGGACCGATGACCTTGAATTTGTAAATAAAGAGCATTGGCGTAAAAAAAAAAGACGTAAAAGAAAAGAAAATGACAATGCAATTATTTTATATAACACTGTGGATACAAATGTTAGTTCTATTATGTTTCTTGCCACTGCAAATCTCATGCAATATTCTCTAAGTAAAATAATACACGACCAATAGTATACTCGGTAAGTACATGGACATTTACTTCATCTAGAATCAATATAAATCTAGGCTATGAAATCATCAATTGTCATCAAATTATCTCAAGAAGGTTATCAGTCAAGATTTCTGTTGTAGATAATTTCAACCTAGTTAACCTTGAAATCTACAGTTTATTTTTTTGATCCAACACTGTCTTATATTCCTATTATTATGTTGGTCATAGTCACAGACATTAGTTGTGTTAAACCTTGTATGTGAGACCATAGTCCCTCTATCTGATAGAGGGATTGTGGCGAGACCAAGAGACATCATTATCAACAGTATTATAATAACGATCAGAAGGCCGAGTGCAAGTTTGAGACCTCAATTAGATCTTTCTACTGGCGAACAATTGAGAACCAGGTCTGGGATGTGTGAAACATGCCCATGTCAGTTTAAAGGGCAATTGTCAATATGCCATGCACGTGTGACATTTGTATTGATAAACATTGATTTTGCCACAACCCAATGCACGCTTCTAATGGTGACTCCCAATTCAGCGGTGACAGCAAGCAGGGAAATAGGGTTCTGTCTACCAGGGTGTGGAGTTATTGATAATTCTAAATTTAAATGGAGCATTCTATGGCTTCCTTGGGGGCGAAGCTCACATGTGATCCCTGGTCAATCAGAATTTTATTGTTGCCAGAGGATCTGCTCCCCAGAGTAAGGGGGCACATGGCCATGGCATGATGGCGCTGTGCTCCTGTTCCCTTGTTTGAAAAAATCCCGGACTCCTTGGATACCTTCTAATCACCAAAGAAATTAAAGTAAAAATTTGGTAACATATCTCAGTTTGTACTTGTTGGTCTGCACAAACAGTGTGCGTCGCTATTTTCGTTCATATGAGACACACATCTGGCGTATGCGTAGTGCGACGACCAACGCCCTTTATTATAGCAATTTCTAGGGATATGAGTTTCAACAACATGATAGAATTCAAGCAATTGACAATGACAAATGACATAGTCCCTGTAAAGTTTTTAGCGACTACCAATTATAAACAACAAAAGATAGATTATAATTAAATGTTATAGGAGAATCCAGCATGTACCGGTAACTACAAACGATGTTATTTCAAATGTTCAGCCAGCCAAAGTGGCACCTCTTACATGGTGAAAAAGAAACCGTGTAAAAAAAAAAAATCACATTTAAAATGTATACACAAAAATGGCTTGGGAAGAACACAAATTTTACTTCATCAATGATGAAATCATCACATTTTCTTCTAACATTGTATTCACAGAATTATCAGTGTTCTCCACTAAAGAGTTCATCAGTTGCCTAATTCACATAAATCTTTAATTTGTGCATTTTTCATAATATGCAAATTATGTTGGGTGCTAAACCTATATAAACTAATCTCAAGCAAGCGAAGGTTGTAATATTTTGAAAAAAAAAATATGGAAGGTGAAAAGAAAATAATTAACAATTTCTACAACAACTGCATGTGAAAGAATTGTTGTGAATAAGACAAATTCTTGGATGGACGCACAATGGAATGAACAGACAAAGTCACAGCAGTACGGGCTGTGTGTTGTACCGCACATAGGAGTATAGCTTTAATTTTTTTCATGGGATGAAAATAGACACATACCTCAAGATTGATAGCATTTTTCTTTGCTGGTCTGTTTAGCAATATGGTACATACTCCATCTTCTACAGTAACTTTTATTTGTTTATAGTCTCCAGCTGTGCCACTAGCTACCTCTTCTGATGCGGATTCTTCAACAGCCACTAAATCATTAACAGTACTAATGTATTGCTTTTGAGCATCTTCCTGGAGAACAAAATATTTATATAGGTATAAAACATAGCCAATGTCAAAATTGGTCATTTTTTACACAGTAGCATTAATAGTAAATTCCCAAAAAACTGCTGATATAGATCTTGAAATAAAAGGACATAGTGCAACAACTATAGCCCTGCCTTTGTTTGCAGGTATGGGTTCAGAGAAACAGAAAATATATCAAAATTTGGAGGGATAATTTTTGTGGGAATAATACTACACAATCAAATTAACATATCATATACTACACTACCTAAATTACTACCTAAGTTATGGGTTCAGTGGAACAGAAAATATGTCGAAGTTTGGAAGGATAATTTTTGTGGGAATAATACTACATAATTAAATTAACATATATACTACACTACCTAAATTACTACCTAAGTTATGGGTTCAGAGAAACAGAAAATATGTCAAAGTTTGGAGGGATAATTTTTGTGGGAATAATACTACACAATTAAATTAACATATCATATACTACACTACCTAAATTACTACCTAAGTTATGTGTTCAGAGGAACAGAAAATATGTCAAAAGTTTGGAGGGATAATTTTTGTGGGAATAATACTACACAATTAAATTAACATATCATATACTACACTACCTAAATTACTACCTAAGTTATGGGTTCAGAGGAACAGAAAATATGTCGAAATTTGGAGGGATAATTTTTGTGGGAATAATACTACACAATTAAATTAACATATCATATACTACACTACCTAAATTACTACCTAAGTTACGGGTTCAGAAGAACAGAAAATATGTCAAAGTTTGGAGGGATAATTTTTGTCGGAATAATACTACACAATTAAATTAACATATCATATCATATACTACACTACCTAAATTACTACCTAAGTTACGGGTTCAGAGGAACAGAAAATATGTCAAAGTTTGGAGGGATAATTTTTGTCGGAATAATACTACACATACTACACAGTCAAATTAACATATCATATACTACACTACCTAAATTACTGAGAGTGTTATTGCATATTTGAGAAGACAACTGTATCTCACTCAAATAAATCTTGTACTACTATTGCCGTTAGTTTATTGGAAGGTATACAAGAAACATACATAGAGATAACATAGTTTTCAAACATTGTTGAAATTGCAAACTGGTGAATAATATAAGATGAACATAGTCAAGTAAAATAAAAAAAAAAGTAAAGAGGATAATCAAATAACACAGTAAAAAAAAAAATTTAAATAACAGATTAATTAAAAGGCAATTACAAAGTAGTACAGAATACACACCTGTTAGCATTATAAACACACCAAGCTTAATGTGGCAGTTTGTCATCATGTAAATAAATTTATCGGAATGATCCATTGAAGTAAAATTAGGATTATCCTTATGTAAATCTGTAAAAAGTTTCTGCCTCATTTCATTGTGCTGTGGGCAGTCCATAATGTAATGGTACTTATCCTCAACTGAGTTATTGTCACATCTTGTGCAGATTCTGTGTTTCAGATTTGTTTTTGGTCTAGTATACCTCCCTTTCTCAATCATAAGCTGATGGTCACTAATTCTTAATTTACAAATATATTTTCTATATTTTGAATTATTCACATCCATCAAACACCTTTCCATTTTGAAGTTTGTTTTAAACTTGTAGGTGCGAAGTTTATTGAGCTCCCCTGAATCAGATTTTTCTAAATTAATGTCACTCTTCCACTTTTTTGAGTAATCATCTCCTATTTTTTCCAAAACTCCCTTCACACTTTTACCATCCCCCTTCCAGTAATCATGTATATTATCAACACCAGTTATTTGACTGATTGTTGTTGCCCACTTTGTTTTGTTGTCAATATTGTAGGACATTGCCTCGTGTTTTCTCTCACATTGCATGATCTATGCCAGTATTTTATCATCATTTTATTAATAAATACTGACAGTGGATGTCTACCCAGTTCTCCTCTTACAGACAAATTTGTTGCACACTGTTTAACTTGGAGGAGTAGTTTGCACAATTTTATGTTAATTTTTTCGATGACTGTTTCGTCTGTATACTTTTCTATCCCCCAAAGTTACAAAAAGATTAAACATTTGTCTGAGTTATTGCAACCACAGGAAGGCAGTTTATCTAATATTAATGCTTCAATAAATGACACAAGACACAAGATTTTGGCAAAAGTGGAAGGGGGAGCGAATTGCAGACGCAGGCGTCGCAGCGAACAGCTCCATGATGCGACTCGCCTGTGAATTGCATCATGACGCCGAGCACGTGGTACCTGGTTGCAACCTTCCACCAGCAGAGACTGTACAGGCGGGCGTCATGGCTGGCGTCCCCCTGGCGGGAGCCTGCAGATAGACTCACAACCCCAGGGGGATGGACAGCGTGGGTACCCGTGTAAAGTCTGCTTGGTCTGTGGTGGAAACCCCCTTACCTGTTTATTGCTAAGGTTGTTCATGAGCAGATAAACATGAGTTACACTTGAGTGAGATCGGTAATGGTATAGAAATTGGTATATAGAGACCTTTGCATCAATGGGTGGGGTGGGAGGTCTGCTGAGACAATGTGTATAGTACGGTGCGGCAAAACGAACTGATGCTTGAAGAGGATGTGAGCACGGATAAGCGAATGAACAGTCTGGTGTTAATTAATGTAAATCCGACTGAAGGACGAAATGTGAGCAAATATTGCATGAAGTACAATGTGGCATGGGAGGTGTCAAAATATGAAAGGGGGATGCCAGCTTGGTCAATGCATGTCATAATTGAGCATTAACACAGATTATAAATTATATTCATAATCATACTATAAAGAGGAAGATGAAGACGATAACTTTTGTCTAAAACAAATCTGAAAATAAAATTGTATGTGTCACAAATGCAATGATGGATAAAAATAGAAGATAGTCCATAAGTTGCATGTAATCTAGTAATCAAAATGCCGTCCTGACATATAGTGACATATACAAGAGTTTTGGACAATTTGTTGTGGTTCCTGAGACTCACGACATTTAAGTATGCTACAAATGACAAATCTGAAACAAAAGATGCACTCACCTGAGACAATACACCCAATGAGTTCCATGCAGTCCATTTGGCTTTCCCTACAAAATCAAATGTTGATGGTTTTTTGGCATTGCATTTACCAACTGTAGCCTGAAAAAAAAGGACAGCAATCATTTCACAATGGATTTACTCAATATTCTAAATCTGAGCAAAATAAGCTACAAGACTCTGTGATAAATTGTTATGCATGTTGGTGTTTTCAGGCCATTTTGTGGAAAATATGGCTGCCAGTGATTTTGAAAAAAACTTGAAAAAAAACAAACTTTTGTTACAAAATGTTACAATGCACCAAGTTTGATCAATAAACACACTTCTGAGAAAATAAAGTAGATGCATGAAATAATTAATCTCTATAAGGCACTCAACCCAGTCTACAGCAAAAAATAAGTATACATCAATTCAATGCATGCAAAAGTAAATCATACTTCAGAACATTAAAACCTCAGAAGATTTTCAATTTGATTCATACCTGTTTGAACAAGGCATACAATTTTAGTTTTATTTCATTTCCAGGATCTTCTTTCAGTGTGGTAAGCCTTTCTTTGGCAGCACTGAATTCTGTATCTATGGCAGCAAAGTTTTTACCACTTGTGGATACTGGTCTGATAACTGAAAATCTAGTACCCAGAGAAGAAGATGATTGAAAACATTAGAAAGTTACATTTTTAATCCTTATGTCAAGTCATGGGGCTGGCAATGTAAGGGTTGAACACAATTGAATAGATATAATTGTTAGGCAGAAATAAAAAAGAATTTCACATCAAAAATAACAAAAACACACTTTTTTTTAACGTCTCAAAACCAGTAAGATATGTTGTTGTTTTTTTTTGGAAAGAAATAGAAAAAAAACTTAAAATTTGCACACAAGTACTCATGTCACCTAGGAAAATTGCTGCACAACATAGACATGATAGATGGACTGACACGGTTCTGGAGAATGCATCAAGTTCCAATTTATTGTCTATTGACAATCTAAAATAAACATGTTATATGTACCACTGAATTTGTTATTACGCTGTATTATTAGTACAATAAAAACTTATTCATTTACTAAGTTAGGACCTTGTATGTTAATTTCGTGACCTGCCGTCGTGGCTTAAAATGGTATACTTTGATTATGCTTTCTGATACATATAAATCAACGTTAAAATCATCTATGGCAAGAGAAGACAAAAGTAGTTCACATAATTAAAGTGCCTGTGAAATGCCAACCACACATTTCCAATATTTAGATCTGTTTCCCCCTGAAATTTGAAATATTTCTCGTGTTCTTGATCCATACTTTTATAACACTGCATCATTCAACATACTTTTAAGTTTTATACATTTTCGGTCAGCGAAAACATTTATTATGGTTAATCGTTGTGTTGTGGGAAGGTGAAGTGATATATATAGCCATAAGTATTCATACGTTTCCTTTCAGTGGACGAAAGCCGTGAAAGCAACAAGAAAAGGTTGGGATGGACTTTCTCCTTACACCGTCATATGTAGTGTCCACTTTACCTCAGATTCTTTTTTCGAAAATCTGCCCTCGTTCATGAAAGAACAACTAGGTTTTAAAGAGCAGACAACTTAAACCTGGCGCAATATTAACACTTGTTCGTGTTTTGCAACAGGTAGCAATAAATTTGATAGTGACGCGAAAACGAAGATTTGGACAAACAAGAAATTACACAGCACTTACACACTGCTAATTGTTTTCATTTTTGCAGGCTAAAAGTTTTCTGAATTGTTCGCTGATTGCTGTTGAATGTCAAATTCACACCTCTGTTATACTTGCAGCTTGATCTGCGTAATACTTTATGGAATAAGAATCCAGGCTTGGGCTGTTCATGTGTTTCGACTAAGTAAGTTTTTAATATGATGTCATAATTATGACAATCACGCTAACTCCAATCCACTCTGAATTTGTCTGTATATGCTCTCAATTAACTTTGTTATCCAATCAAATGCCACCATTCAAGCACTAATTTAACCATTTCAACAAAATGTCAATTCATTTCCACGCGGCTGTCGTTTACTAACAGTGATTTGTCGTTATTTTTTTTTTTCAAATTATTTCTCTATTTTATCAATCAATAGTATAAAATGTTTAAAATGTCAAAATATGTTCTCTTTTTATTTTAATTTTGAATTTTTTTTTTTTTTACTCAGACAATCGATAAAATAAAACAGTTGCCTAGCAACGCTAAAGAACAAGAAAATTTGGACAAACTTGGCGATGATCGACATAGGTGTAGGGAGTTTCATAGAAATAGAAGTCAACACTTCGACTGACTACCATATAAGTAATTGTGTAGTCCAGACCAACCCTGTTGTAGTCATTCTAACTTCTTACCAACTCGTATGTTGTCCAGTGCCAGGGTCCACCGACAGTGTACAAACGTGCGCCGGTGACAGTGACAATCACGGTAACCAGCTACGCAAGAGAGAACATATTTTAACTCAACCCTATGCGACAAACTTGATATTATGTGTTCATCATGAATCATTCTTCCTCGACGAAACTGTACAAGAAATGTGCCTTATATACACGTATCGGCAATGGAAGTAGGTACCTCCTTGAAGATACAATGTACATGAAGGTATCTGCTATACTACCGTAAAATCTGTATTAGAAGCCGCATCCCTAATAGAAGTCGCACCCATTTTTTTTGAATAATTGAGAACCAAAAATTCAGCATTTCTCATATGTGTAGATGCTCTATTAGAAGCCGCATCCCCTCTGTTGCATTGTACCATTTTAATAGAAGCCGCGGTTTCTAATACAGATTTTACAGTACAAGGTCTAACAGTGTTCAGTGAATGGCGATTGCATGGCTTCCACCTCGCTTTTTCTGGCGCTTGGTGGTGCAGTTTCACTTCGAGAGAAGAAGAGCCAGAAACAGTGA